AAATGTAACACCCCAAAACTTTCATGCTTAATGTGTTGTGTAAAACTCCTATTTATTCATACCCTAAGAACGTTAACTATTTAAATTGTTATTTTAAAATTTTTGTATAATTTTGAGTTTACTTAAAAATTATTATTATTTATTTATTTTTGTAAATTTATCATTAATTTTTAAAGTTTTAGAAAAAAACGTAAAAAAGGGCAAAACAATCCTACGAAAAAGCAGCAAAAAAAAAAATTTCGCTTGCCCAAGCTGGTCTTGCGTTTCGTGCACATGAGGGCACGCGACCAGCCGGATGTGAGCTAGCGTGACATCCCATTCATGCATGGCATAAGGTGCACGATTTGTGCACTCACCATATCGGGTGCAAACACCGATCGACTTTACATACCTGTGCACTAGCTTGCACGTGCAGGCGCTTCAGCCAGCACACACGACATACATTGGACAATGCGCCCGTCACCTCTTGGGGGGCATACGCCGCCGTTCTGCCAATGAGCCACTACCATTTAGGAGGCATGCACTCTCCCTTGGCTAGCGTGCTCTCAGCCTTTAGGCTAGACGTCACGTCATTATTGTCTTACTAGCCATCCATCAGTCATTGCGTCATGTCAGTCAACTTTTCCCTCTTTCTCCTCATGGATTCATGCCACTTGATGGAAATTCGATGAACCATTTAATCTATAAATAAGGGCCCCTCCCCACCACTTCTTCACACACCATTTTCATTTCACTTCATTTAAGAGAGCTAGAGAGAGAGAAATGAAGGAAGGAAGAAAAAGAATGTAGGAGAATCTACATGTTTTCGAAAAGGAAGATTTTGGAATCAACATTGAGGCTGCAGGCCTTATAAAAACCTATCAAGACCACAGTATCATTGTCTGTCACATTCTAGAAAGCAATTAAATCAGATTGACCAAAACCAGGGTGGCTTGATTCTTCAGCTCAGTGCATTATATGTACATAAAAAAGCATAAAAGATCTATAGAATCTGTGAGTGAACTTAGTGTTATCCTGGACAGGAGCAGTTTAGAAGTTGAAAAAGACTGAAAAGAAAAATTTTATGGAAGCTCTAATTTTCGATTATCATTTAAATTTAAAAAAATAAAAGATTTCAACCTTTCTTCCTAGAGTGGAAGTCTAATTAAAAATTCAACGCTATCATCAAATAAGTACACTAAACCAAATTCTGTTAGAAAAGAACTCAACGGCCAAATTAACCACACTAACCACTGTAGAACGCGAAAGCACATTGGAATAACCTGACAGTCTGCTCTAATAACCAATAATAACAGTCTGCTCTAACACATGTGCCAAAGTTTTTCAGAAAAGTCAAGAAGTATCTGTTAACAACTCTCAATCATAAATTTGTCATTTATATTGCAATTTTCTGATGAGGATTGATGGAAATTTATATTAGAGAACCAGCAGAAGTTCCTTATTAACTATGCAACACACAAACTTGTGAAAAAAGAGCATACCAGCTTGTCCATAGATAACCATCCACAGGCAAGGATCCATGTGATCCATTCTCCAATCAGAACCTTGAAAACAATTTTGATCCGAAATTCTAAATTTGTCTGCAAAAACACCAAACACCCGTCATACAGAACATAAAATTATCATCAGACAGAAAGGACTGAAAAGATAATCTATTCTACAACATTGTACCATAAACAGTGTAAATAGTTGCAATACGGCCAAACATCTAACGATATAAGCATATATATTGCAAGTACCTTCCAGTAAAACATAACACAAATCATGGCCATGGAAACACCAAAAAAAAGCTTAAAATGAGCGGGGAAGTTTACAGGAAATAAAATGAGAAAGGAAAGAACATGAAAAATAAAAAACGAAGCACGTAGCTTTTAATGTCTCTATCCATTTGAAAATAAATAATTACCATGTCTCTAACAACATAAAATAGTTTACAGCAAGAAAAGCACACGACTCAAGAAACCATCCACAGCAATAGAATTGTAATCTACGCTAATCAAACCAAAGAAGGTTACTCAATTAAGGAATAATGTCATTGTCCGCGTAGGAGAAGGAAAGGTCTCCATTCCCCAAATTAAACACCACCAGTATTCATTACACAGATATTAACACGAAAACAAGATCTCGCACATAAAATTTGATCAAAATCCCATGCAATTCAATATAACCACATCGTATACACACATATGCATGTCTCTGTATATACATACACACAAAAATATGCATAAATAAGATGCGTACTGGAAAGTGAAGTGGGCGAAGGGCTGATAGCTGTTTTTGGAGAATCAGAGAAAAGTTTTGAAGAAATACGAGTTCTTTTAAGCAAAGAAGCTGCAGCTTGCCGCAGAAACATCATTGCGCTTGGAACTGTTTCAATGCTGGTTTTTCCGATTTCGACCTTAAACCCTGTTTCTGCGGTTTTGCGAAGAGGAAAGTGAAAGAGGCCTTGGGGGTTGTTTGGTTACGCCCAAAAATTATCCAAGACGGAGAATAAGATTTTAATGTCAATTCATAAATTTCATTGATAATGTGATCTATATATAAATAATATCAAAAATATTATTTGTCAAAATAAAGATAACTATTAATATTAAATATAATTATATATTAGATAGAGATAAAATTTTAAATATTATAAATAAAGTTAATATGAAAAGATATAAAATAATTTTCAATTTAATTTATAAATATAAAAAAAATTTAACTGATTATAAATTATATACTATATAGTTTTGAAATATAATTTGTATGTAATATAGAATTTATCCTACTAATTTTTAATATTTACTTATATATGTCTAACTTATATTTTTTTATTTTTAATGTAAAATGTTATACCATATTTATACATTATTTTATAGTATCTTTTTTTTATTAAATTTATAGTTTATATGTAATCAAAGTTTATGTACGATGCTCGAGAGAACATTTTGTACCGAAAAAAATAATAATTTATAGTGAAATTTTAATTTTTTTTAATTATTTTGAATGGATTGGATTTAAAAATCGTAATAAGATTATGATTTGATGTATAAAAAATTTTGAATTTTCAATTGTAATACGTAAATTAAATTTTTTTAATTATTTTATTATTAATAGTGTATTTAACATCGTTACGTAAATATTTACATTACATAAAATATGTTAATATAAATATTAAAATTCAAAAATATTAGCATTGGAGTAACTATTTAATAGTTAATTTTTTTTGTAACATTATATTTATAAGTATCATTTAATTAAACAATAATAATTAAATATGAGATGAAAAATATTATAATGTTATTAATGTTAATTTTTTTTATAATTTTAATATTTTATGAATTTATATGTAACGCCCGGGAATTGGAAGAGGAAAAAAAAAAAGTCACGTCAGCAGCCACGTTAGCAGACCCAGTCAGCAGTCCCGGCCAACCAGGACCTGCCACGTGGCAAAACTACGTCGACCGGGGACGGGCTACGTTGGCGATCCGCGTACGCGCGATCGACGGTCCAGATCAAGCGGACGTACGGACGGCCCAGATTTAATCAAAAAACGGATGGCCCAGATTAAAACAAAATGGACGGCTGAGATTAAAAGGCAAAATGGTATAAATAGAACCCCCACACCAGACCACAAAAACCCTAGCCGCCTGCCCTCGCCGGAGAAGATGAACCAGACGCCGGAGACGCCGGCCGCCGCCACCCACCGCCGCACCGGGGAGATTTCTGACTGCCGATCGAGGTAAATTTCATACCTCCGACTCGTTTTTCCACGCTGATTTTTCCTGTGGCCAAATTGGAGCCAAAATTCTGGCCAAACGACCGAAAAACACGGCCGAAACCCAGCGGCACCGCCGCGCCCCTTCTCAGTTTTTGCCTCCGATGAGGCCTTTTCCGGCCTCCGTTTGATGCAATTTTTATATCACCGTGATCACCATTCTTTTATCTACAGGTTGATCGGAGCCGAATCACCAAAACACGAACTTCACCGGAGAGCCGCCGCACCCGAGCGCACCGCCGCCGGTAAGCTTCGATTTTTCGTAATTTTTTGGCCCCCCGAGGGCCCTAGGGTTGTTTTATCGCAAGAATCGATGCAACTGTGGCCGAATTTGGCCGAAAACGGCTAAACCGAGGCGAATCATCACCGCAAGTCGCCGGAGCACGACGGAGCCGCCGTGCCGGAATTGCGATATTGGCCAAAAAGGGGCCCTGGGCCTAATTTGGGATTTTTTGAACACGTGCAGGTACTAGTAGTGCGTTTCAGTTCCTCGGAAAAAATTCAGGAAAAATTAGGGACAGCCTGTAGGCGCACCGTGAAGCAGTGTTCAGACCCCGAAACGAGTAAGGACCCCTCACCCTATTTCCTATCACGGTATTAAAGTTCAATAAATGATAAAACGGTATTTCATAAATCAACGAATGTGTGAAATTGCTTAAGGTCGCTAATGGAGCCCGAGTATAGTGTGTTTGTCGGTTAACTGTTATTTGGTCTGTTTTACAGTTTTAAATGCAGTATGAGGTTTGATGTTTTCATTTTATAGTTTCGCGTGCATATTTTACTGTTTTACTGATTATGGATTGAATGACTGGGATATTGATGCTGTATGTTGTCTGTTTGGCATAAATTACCGTTTTGCTTGTTTGTATGTGGATTGATAATGCTGACTGAGGGAAAGGAGAATGAAAGATTATGTAAATGGGTAATTGTATAATGTGGTCAGCCTGACTAGATATCATGGGAGATGGTAGACGGACCGGGTCCGTAGGGAACCCTACCGGGATTGTGGTCTCCCATACCGGACGGGGTATGGAGATCTTATGTGTTTTGGCGCCCATACCGGACGGGGTATGGGGACGGCCCTGGAATATGATTTCAAGTGTTAAGGGTTAACGGGTAGCGGGACCCCTATGGATCCCCATGAATACTAGTGGGCTGGTAAATGAGGAAAATATGTTGTGTAACGATTGAATTACGAAAAGCCTGATAAGTATTATGTTATACAGTTTATATATGATTTCATGATGATGATAATGTTATTGCTTTTGTATACTGTTTTATGAATTTCACCGAGGTAGGTGGATGGTGAATGATTTATTATTGATAAAAGAATTTGTTGTAAATTATGCTCCATTGGTCTTTTTGTGTTTTCTACCCACCTTTACCTCCGTGACGGTGAGATATCGTGATGTCTTTACTGGGCTAGTGTAGCTCATTCCTTATTTAATCATTTCAGATCAGGAAGACATTGTTTCCGAGCCGGTTCCGCAGAAGGACGACGAATGGGACGCCTAAAGACTCCATAGTCATATTCGTAGCTTTTACTTTCAAGTTTCTCATTTAAGTAGTTTGATCTTTTATATTTTGTGAGCACGTTTTTTGTTTTAGTATAAGGGATGTTAATCGAATTTTTGACTTCGCTTCCGCATTTGATATTTTTAATATACATTTCATTTTAAATTTCTGGGCTGTTACATTATATATAATTTATAATTATTTAAATATAAAAAAATAAAGTGATTATTAATGTGACATTATCTATCTAATAGTATTAAATATATTAGTAACGTTATAAATTTATTAAGATAATATTTTAAAATTTATATTGTATTTTAACCAAAAAATAATATAAGAGTCCATTTAAATTTTTTGAACGATACACAAACTTTTTGATTAAATATAATACTAAGAAATTAGTTATAATAATTAAAATATTAGTACCATATAAAAAATAAATAACTATTTTTGTTTTGTTAACTTTTATAGTTCTATATAAATTTCATTTTAAAAAACAATTTATAACTTATATATAATTATTATTATTATTGTTATTGTATTCACCTAATTGGGTCAATTTCATTTGTTATATTTTATCAATCGGACAACTACCTTATACAATTAATTACACGGGCATAATAATCACATGAAATGCGTGATTAAGATTCTAATTAAGCAAATTTCCTTTTATCATTATAATAATAATTATTTTATTATTTATTATTATTTTTAATTTTTGAAGGCGTCGTAACGGTGACAAATTAGTTTATGGTTACAATGTCACCGAGTCTCTTAATCTCTCCTTTCTTCTTCTACCAGCCATGGCCGCGATTGGCTTCGTCTTCCTCTTCGCGCTGTTGCTATCACCAGCACTCCAATGCGAATCTCTGACCGCGAACACCTGTAGCAGAGAGGAGCTCGAGTCTCTGACTCGTGAGTTACTCGATTCCGCGAGGGAGTCTCGGTTCTTCGAATGGATGAGAGGGATCAGGAGGAGGATTCACGAATATCCAGAGCTAGGGTTCGAGGAGTACAGAACGAGTCAACTCATCCGAGAAGAGCTGGACTCGGTTGGAATCAGTTACAAGTGGCCGGTCGCTAAAACTGGATTGGTGGCTTCAATCGGGTCCGGAGAACAACCGGTTTTCGCTCTCAGAGCAGATATGGATGCCCTACATTTGCAGGTATACATTCTTCAACCGAACTGAAAATTGACAGGGAGAAACGAATTCAAATACTTAACTGCTTCGATTGCTGATTTTAGTGCCAGAAATCTCAACTTCGGCAAGTTAGTATTTCGATTTTGAAATGCTTTGGTTAATTAGGGTCTGATGTCAATCTGAAGAAACAATGGGAGCAAAACAGAAAGGTTGACTTACATTATAATAATCTGAATTAAAAAAATAATGAACTTAAATTAAAATATGAACAGTTATTGAATTTTTAAACACTACTTTTATTATATTTTATATTAAATCTACAATTATAATTAAAAAATTAAATTTTTTGAAGTGTTAATAAATTCAAAGATTTTTAAAATTTCTTTTTTGAGAGAGAAAATTTTAGGAATGCTAATATAGAATCTATTTGGATTCAATAAAATCATACATTTAAATAGTGAAAAAATATTAAATGAATATAATATTTATTTTTTATTAAGATTCTTAATTAATTTAAATTATTTATTATTTATTAAACTGATAAATGATAAATTTTATCTATAAAATATTTTATTTATTATTTAAAAAGACGAGGCATGATGAACTTCATTTATATAAATTATACCTATTATATACGATGATGATAAATGTTGAACCTATTTTAAAAAATTAAGCTTCTATTTTCAAATTGTTTTCTATAGTATTACATATATATATATATATATCAATTAATTGACAGACATTGTGATTAACAAATTTCATGTGATATAATATTCATTTGTTCTAGATTGTAATTATAGGAATTGGTAGAATGGGAACATAAGAGCAAGCATGATGGAAAAATGCAT